GCATTTCTCTCCTGGCCTGAAAGGCTTTCCAAGATTGGAAATTCTAGTGTCATGTGAATAGGAAAGGGATTGTTGGCAATGCCTTCTGTTTGATTTTGAACTGACTTACAGCAGTAAAGCACAAGGAAAGAGATTCCTCATCTTTCTCCAGAGGAGCAGCTGGTGGATTTGAACCCCTTTGCCTTTATGTTGGGCAGACTGCCTCATATTTTCCCAGTGAGCAACTGGTGGCTTCAAACCAAGAACTTTTGGACTGACAGCCAGGCACCAGAGATGCGCCTTATCTACATAAGAGGTGGAGCAAAAAAAATATAATTTACATAGCAGCAGGCTGAATGGTCTTACGTTCTGTTTATCTGCATAAGAGGTGTGGCCAAGATTCACCCCACCGCTCTGCGGAGGGAGGTGGGGTGGGGCGGCAGGTAAGGTCCTGTGCCCCTGACATTTTCTCTCTTTGTCCCCAAGTACTATATGTCAGCTCGCCACATGGCCCTGGCCAAGGCCTTTCCGGATCACTTCACCTATGAGCCCCATGAAACAGACGCAGTAAGTGGGCCCTGGATCTGGTGGGTCGGGTGTTCAAGGCCAGCGGTAACGGGAGGTGGGGTGCCCTGCTGGAGTCGAGGCTTGGGAGACACTGGACGCTGGGGCAAGAGCTGTCAGAGCCACTCAGTACTTTGTGGCCCTCACCCCGCTTTGCAGACCCAGGGCTACCGCTACCCACGGCCAGCCTCAGTGCCACCATCGCCCTCGCTGTCACGACACTCGAGCCCACACCAGAGTGAGGATGAGGAGGAGCCTCGGAACGGGCTGCCCGAGGACGGAGAACGCTACGATGAGGAGGAAGAGGCCGCCAAGGACAGGCGCAACATCCGGGCCCCCGAGTGGCCACGCCGGGCCTCCAGTGTCTCGTCCATGGGGAGCAAGCGCAGCTCCGTGGACACCGCGCCCTCCAGCTCACTCAGCAGTCCCAGCGAGCCACTCAGTCCCACCAGCTCCCTGGGAGAGGAGCGCAACTAGGTCTCCTGCGCCCCCTCTTCCCGGGGTGGCTGCAGAAGGGCAGTACTCCCAAATCCCACTCCAGCTCCCCACCTTCTGTGGGCTCCACAGCTCTGTGCCCCACACACTCCAGCTCCTCCTCCTCGAAGCTCGGAGCCCCCACACTCCAGCATCAGCAACATTGTGCCTTTCTCTGGGGTTCCAGAATGCATATTCTGTGCTCCAACTCCACCCCCCAGGGCCTGGCCTGGAAGGCAGTGGCCTGGTATCTGCCATTAACCTGTGGTGCCAGAGGTTTTCCAAGTCCTGGCCTGCTGCCTTCCAGGCTGGACTTCCAGAACCCTTTGTGGCTTGCAAATCCTAGTCCTTCCAGAATGTGCCATGTCATAGCCTGGCCTAGGGGCCACCAGGCGTGGCATTCCTATTCCTGGGACAATCATGCCCGGAGCCTAGGCCTTTTCAGGGACTTTGGAGGCCAGAATTCACAAGGTCTTCCAAAACCTGTCTCATGTGTGTTTACTCTGCCTCCACCCTCCCAGGGTATATCTGGTTTTTCCAGGGTCCCTCATCCATTTCCCATCAGTAAGGTCCAGTGTCTGCTCAGCTCCCACTGTCCCCACACTTTGGCCACGCGAGAAGGGGGTGACAGAACTCAGAACCACTCAGCTCCTCATTCCTGCCTTTGTTTCTGCATCTTCCTGGAGTCTGAACTGTTCCCCCAGGCCTTCAGACTCCCCACTGCTGAGGACCGAAATGGCCATCTCCCACCGTGAAACTACTAGGTTCTAGGTCCAGCTCCTGAATCTAGAACCTTAACCACTGTGTCCCATCCTTGTCCTGTCCCCCTGATCTGTGTGTGGGGTTCTAAAGCACCCACATTTACCTCCAGGCTCTTCCACTCCTCCCCAGCTGTGTTCTGCCCCCCCAGCTTTGGGGACAGGGAGGGGCCCCTCACGTGTGCTGTGTCAGATTCACTGCTTGGTTTGTAATTGGGGGCTGGGAGTATGATTGATGTGTGTCCAGAGATGAAAAAAAAATACATCTATATTTAAGAAAAAAAAAAAGAAATTTACAAAACTCATCTGGAAATTAAAGAAGGTCTCAACACTCTGACATCATTTCAAAGGTGAAATATCAACATTCCTCCATCGCCCCTCTGCAGTTTTGCACCCCTCTTCCCTATGTGGTGGGGAAGTGTGTGCACCTGTGCCCACCACCTCTGCCTCACCACAGCTCTGAGGAAGCATCTTTAAGATGGTAAATGAAAGTACTAAGGTGCAGGGAAGCTATTCTAGTCACAGTCTTGGCAGGAGCTGAGATCTGAAGTCTTAGATCTGAACTAAGGCAAGCTATTCTCTTTTTCTGAGCTTCATTTTCTTCCCAGATAAATGGGTCTGTGTCTCCAGAGGCCTCTTGGGCCATGCTAGGATCACTCCCAGCAGGTCTGAGTCCTTCCTCCCTGCACTTCCCAGTCTTGGGGAAGGGAACAGAGAGGCAGAAAACCAGTGAATGGGGCATGTCTTCCCCCAGGTCTGAGTCCTTCCTCCCTGCACCTCCCAGTCTCAGGGTGAGGCGCAGGGCGCAGGGATGCAGACAACCACTATGTGGGGCAGGTCTCCCCGACACACACTCACCAAGGGTCCCGAAGGACAGCAGGGCAGTGAAGAGCCTCATGTCTGGATCCTGCTGCAGCTGGGACCAGGGAAGGCTCTGCCACCTGTGTCTGCCCAGTGCCCCTTTATCTAGGGCTGGGTGACCTCACGTAGCTTGCCCCGCCCTGTTGCTCAATTGTATCCCCTTTCCTCCTCAGCACCCATGCCTGCTGCGCCCAGATCAACTTCTTCCTTGAGGCCATGGATTCTGAAAAGCCCTCAGAACAAAGGGTGGGGAGGGGAGGTACCTGGCCAAGTTCCCCAGAGAGGAAGCCTGGCTTTCACCCTGCCTTGCAAGTCATCTGCTGTGGTAATTGAAGTCATGTAGTGGTCTTCCTTGCCAGCTCGTCTAGGACCCCATGTTGTTTATAGGGTTGACTGTTTATCAGTGGCACTTAACACGACGTGTAGGAGCTCCTGAGGAGTTGAACCACACTGTCTTACTCTCTGTGGTCTGGTACCTCTTAGAGAGTAAGGTAACTAATATGTGAACTCTGAGGCAGACAGACTTGTCCTTTCACACTCCCTAAGGTGCGTGGGAGCAAAGAGCAAGGTGGGGGGCAGTCACTTGGCTAGTAGTGTGGTAGGGAATGCTAGACAGGAGCCAATCTACCAAGCTAGTCAGCCTGGACAGCTGATGGGCATAAGGGAGACTCCCGGATTCTGTGTCCAGTTTCCTATGAGGCTCCTTCCCTCTAGACCTGCTGAGACTCAGATTATGGGTCCTGGGAAACAGAGCCAGGCCTCAAGCACCCAGGAATCATTAGCACCCACATTCAACCGCTATTTCAATGTCTCTCTTTTTGTCAAGGACAGAGGTATTCTACCTGTTGGAGGTGGTGGTTGTTCTGTTCTGCGGGTCGTACAAGAGGGATAAGACTTCGTCCCACATGTTGCTGTTGTTATGTGCCATGGAGTCGTTTGCGACTCATAGCGACCCTATGTACAGCAGCCCTAA